TACGGCACGTTGCTACTGCACAAGAAGCCATATTACATAAAGGATACTTTAAATATAGAATTTAAAACAAAAACTGACTAAAACTATATATATATACAAATTATTTTAAATATTTGCATTATTGGAAAACAAATATGTATGATTAAAATTAATTTGGGATATGCGACCTCCAGAAAATCGTCTTGCAACTGAATGAAACTACAGTTTTAAACGCACGAAATCAGAGCTGGTGCAACACAGACACGTCAGATTACTTCCAGTTAACGCCCTCCATGAGGCTCGTGTGGGCGAGGAGTCGAACAAAGGAATAACCTAGCCCTTCTATGTATCCCTGGTATCATTATGAATCTGGATAATTTAAAATTTTCCAATTTAAGTCTGCTGTATTTGCAGCATTTGATTCATTTGCTGTATTTGCAGATAATAAAGTTGACTTGTTCTTTTAATGATGAATTCAATTCATCCTGCTATTCAGTTTGCTTTTGAACTTCAGACATTGAATTCCTTTCTACTGCTTGATATTTCAGTCGCATATAATTTCAGCACTATTGTGTATGGTAAATTATTAGCAGTTTATCTTTTTCCCTCATTTGATATTGTGTCTCTCTGCTAAACATAACTAGGCTTTGTATTCTTTTGTTTTCCAGGCATTGCTAAGTTGCTCTTTGATCAGGGATTCAACTGTTAAATAGCAGTAGCAATTGATAAAATTTACTCGTCGTAGGTTACAGAACTAGTGATTACTTGTCGTAATTGTTATATGATAAGAAGAAACATTTTTTTTTTTTTTTTCATTCTCTCGACAATAAGAATTAAAAGGTGTTCTGTTCTTTGTTAGTTACGAAATTGCAAGTATTTTAGGTTAGTTTAACATTTTAAAATTCATGCAGTGTTTGTGTTTTATCTCCATCTAATATAATTTGTGGTTTAATCCTTAGAGACTGTGTTCTTGATGTAAGCTCTAGTGTTCCTTGCCAATAGGGCATAACCATATATTGTCTGAACAAGGTGAGGTTTGGAATTTCATGTCAAGGGTCACGAAAATCTATATTCAAGAAAATGAAATTCATGAATCTTTTGTTGTGGATGATTGTCAGTCAATAAATCACAATTTTTAGTTCTCTGGTGCCAAACTTGTTCGAAAAATGTCTAGTTTGCAAATTAGATTTTTTGAAAGCTTTTCATTGCTATGAAATCAGTCATTTGTAGTTAATGATCCAAATTCTAACCTGTATTTAGTTTGCCTTAAAAAGTAAATGAAAATAAATAAATAATAAATTAAATGAATGCCTTTAAAGGACTTCTCAAGTTCTGAAAAGTTTTATCAGTCATTTTTCCATTAGTAGACTTAGTTGCTTCATCTTCACATTTGTTTTACAGCATTTTGGGTTTTGCTTCCTGTCATTCAGTTAAAATTTTTTCCAAGTCTCATCTGTATTTGCACATAAGCACATTTCTCTTCATCTCGTTTTCGTATTAACATCTGAAGTAGAATTTGCTGTTTGACATTTGAAGCTGAAGTACCGAACATTTTACTTATTTTATGCTAATTTTTGTTTTCTTTAGCACAATATTGGGTTGATCGTGTCAGATGGCTGCTAGAAAAATATCTAATTTTGAACTCCATTTTTATTCTTTTCACTGATCCATCTACACATTTTTCTGGTATGCTGATTTTACATTTTTGTTAATGGAAAAACAAATGAAAGGTTATTCTAGGAAATAAGAAAAAGAAAATGCTTGTTTGTAGGAAGTTAGATTTTTTAGGTTAAAAATCAGTTTTTGTTTTTGAAGCTGATGAATTGTTTGTGTAAATTAAATAGTAGTATGAATAGTGGTATATAAACCAAGTATTTTATTAAATTTTATATTCATTGCTAATGAAAATTAACATTTACAAATGATGTATAAATAAACAATTTATAAATGTTATTTCGTGGTTCAAAATCATAAACAAAGTGTTCTGAATGTGAATAAGTAATACTTCTAGGCAAACATCAGCATTAGAACTCAACCTTATGAATTGCTTATCTGTGGATTCTGTGGTTTGAGTAAAACTTTAAAATCGAGTCATAAAGGTGTTTGAAGCTGAAGCATTTATTTTATTAACCTTTAAAATGCAGATGTTGTTTGATTTCTATGATAACATATACCTTTATCTGAAACTGATCCAAATATGCCATAAATACTGAGCCATCCATTGAATGATTATTATTTTTAAGATTGATTTTGTAATTAGAATGAATTATTTTTCTTTATTGCATGTTATGTAAATTAAGTTAAATTAAGTTGCAAGTTATGTAATTAAGTTTCTAAGAGAATTTTTTATCAGAGGCAGAGTTGATATTTTAAGGTTTTTTTCTGATTTTAATGCATTTCCCCCCTAAACTGTTAGCACATATTTAATTTGGTATATTGTGTAAGCATTTATTTGTTGGAGTTTTTTCATAAGTAATGTACTCTGGTGTGCAAAAATTAAGGACAAGGCTTTTTTCCAATGTAACGTTGCGCAAAAGCTTTCCAAATCAACACAAATAATACCATAAGATCCCTCAGACATAAGAGCATAGATAATGTAAGTAAAACTTTCCAAAAATGAAATCGGAAAGATAAAAAGGAACTTTATTTAAAAAGTAGGATGGAGCATAATGCGACAGAAGGCTGAAACATCCAGCCTGTAGTAGAGGATATGATCACCTCTGACTGCTGTGTAGGTTTCCCATCGTTTGTGTATGTTGAGTATGGGGTTGTCAATGAGTTGTTGAAGCACTGCTGCCCATTTCTCTTGTAGCACCAATTGCAGCTCCGCAATGGTTACTGTCGATAAGTTATGTGCTGCCACATGTGTTCCTAGAATGTCCCATACATGCTAGATTTGGATCAGGATTCCCCTAGCAAGTTTAGATCCGGAGACCTTGCCGCCCAATCCATGCGTTTAATATCCTCATTTTTCAACAGCAACTGTGCAATGATGTAAAGCATTGTTGTCCATGAAGAGGAACTGAGGACCTATAGCACATCTGAAAAGACACACATAAGGAAGGAGAATCTTGTTAAAATAGTGGGCCCCTGTGACTGAACCTTCTTGGAAGATGTGAAGTTCGGTACAGATACCAAGCACGATGCTTCCCCAAACGAGAACTCCGTAACTTTCAAACCGGTACCTTTTGGATGATGTTGAAGGAGTTATTGTGTGTTCCCTGCTCTCTCCAGATGTGCATGCATCTATAATCGCTACTCAGACTAAATCTGATCTCACCCATAAAGGGTATTCAATGCCATTGATTATCTATCCAATTTTGGTGTTCTCTGCACTGCAGAAAACACATTCTCCTATGAACTAGATGTGTAACATGTATACGAGCCAGTTTTCCTTAGAAAGTCCTCCACAAAGGCATCCCTCCCTTTAGGCAGATAGCCCTCATGTGCTTTGCCATAATTGAATAATCCAATCCAATCCAATCCATCCTATGAACAGGTGTTAATGGTGTACAATGTACAGGTCGTCATGCAAACAGACGACCACTGTGCGGCCTCTTGGCCATGGTAAAATACGAAATCGGTTGTCCAATCACCTGTTCTGTGTGTCTGGAGATTTCTCCTGCCGTCTGCTGCCTGTTCCTTTTTGCCTGTAGGGAAATATACCGGTCTTCCGCTGCCATGTTCAGTCATGGATGACCACTGCTGAACTGTCAAAAGGCTGTTCCTGTAGTTTGAAATGCTCTCCAAAGTTGTGAAATGATGCTGTGTACAATCCGGAATTCTGCAGCCACACTTGTCACTCTTTGACCTTAGTTAAAATCAGCCAGATGTCATCTAACAGATTGATTGGTCAACATTTCACACTGAGGCAGCAACTTAGCATTGTTTAAACTGATATACGCAATGCAATAGCTTTCTAGAAATGCCAAGCTCGTACCACCAGCCAACTTTATACCACTCTGACACTTCCCCATTATGTCTATCTGCATATATATGAGCATGTGCTACCGTATCTGATTCTAGTTGATCTCCTGGTTGGTCTTTCAGTCTTCTCTGCCTCTTTGTTCAGCTGATAAGCTGAGTTTTCACATTTGTTCTTGATTTTTGCACATGAGTGTATTGATTTTTAATCTTTGAATAGCATTTCTTGCCTCATTTTGTTAAATTACAGCTTGGTGTTTTAATCTTTAACCCTTTGACTGCAAATAGTAACCTGTATTGTAAATCTTGGTCATGTGCAAGCAGCTTTTAAAGGTACCTGATGCCTAACTCTCGTATACGAAAAGTCTTTTGGCATTTTTTCACTTATTACCTGAATTATTGCAATAAATGTTCTAAGATTGTTGGCTTTATATTCAGTGTACTTTTATTCCCCAGAAGTAAATGGAAGCTTTTGTATCTCGTAGATGGGCAACAATGTATGCTTATTATAGTTGGGTACATTTTTATACTTTAGCTCCAAGACTTCTTTCAGATGTTAAAAAAATGAAATATAATTAGTAAAGTGTTTTTCATTAAAACTTGTTTTAAAATGTGTCAGGAGAAAATTGCTGATATACTTCTTTATGTTAACAGTATATAGTTTCATAAGAAATGTTTTATGCTATTATATTATTTTTAAGTAATTACAGGTCATAAATAAAAAAATTCTGTTATTAATAAAGTTAATTTTAATGTACTTTGTGGTGATTACTTAAGTTCCTCTCTTACAATGGAAGTTTTCTTAGAGAATATGTAAATTTAACATTTTATTTGTTAATCGTAAATGAATCTCTTATGTGAATGACTTACTTGTATTTTATTCTACTGTATTAAACAATCTACTAATTCAAGCAGTTTTGTTAAAATGCAGGCAAACACTTCAGTACAGTTAAAATAGCTTTCAATGAATTATTTTCTCTGCTGGAATATATATGTTCATGCCTTTTTATAGCCTGTCTTAGAACAGGTGAAAAAACAAGATTTCCTATCTAAGTATTTGTATTTTGGAAAGTTCAATAAAATATTACTTTGGGTAGGTTGATGAAGGGACAAGAAGCCTGATGTTTAAATTACGTCAAACTTGGAATAATATTTTGCCCAACAAAACTCTGTATGGCTTAGATGTTCAAATCCGGAAACTGGATCCAGCATGGCCAGTTACTGCAAAACCAGTAATTAAACCTGTTCAAGGTATTCATATTAATCCAAGATTTCTGGGTGGAACTACATCTGTGGTATGTATCAAAATAATTTTAACATTATCAAAAATTTTTTTAACAGTTCTTACAGTTTTATCTACTTTTTAATGTTCTGAGAAGGAGAAAATATATTTTCACTTTAATAAATTATTATTATTATTTTTTGACTTTTTAAATTTCTAGTGTTTCATATATGAATCTTCATTACTTGCTAACTGAAATTCTGATATGTCTTTAAGCATGGTTATGTTGTAGAAACATAATCTTTTCCCTTAAATTCTGAATACATTATTTGGTGTATGGAGTATGTGTTATAGTTCTGTGTTGTTATGTTTTCTGATAATTTCAAGTGTATTAGTCTGATAATGAAAAAGTAATGAGGTTATTTCATACCTTGAGAAATTTATTATATATATAAAACATATATATTTAGAACTACGAAAAAGCATATTTTGAATTTACATTGGATTAAAGGCTCACGCTGCTCATTATGGGAATGAGAGAGCGGATGCTTTAGCGAAAGAAGCCTCCCTGGGCGTTTGAACCAAAAAGGTTTTTATTCAAGAATCGAAAAAGTAGATATGTACTACGAGGGCAATTCCAAAAAACAAAAGGTCTCCTATATTTTAGATATACAAAGAACCGCTTATTTTCTATAATTGCTACATCACTTTAAAGATTGAAGAATGCTTTATTTTTCAACATAATCGCCATTTCGGTCGATGCATTTTTGTAGACGCTGTGGCAGTTTTACAATGCCCATGTCATACCAGCTTGCCACCATGCCCTTCAGGAAGTGTTGAGGAGCTTCAGGAACATCCAGATGATCCTCCGATCTTTACGCATTTTACGAACTGAACAATCACGAAACTCAACGAATATGAACTTAACAATCACGAAAGTTGAGTTACTCAACTTTCGCGATTGTCTCGTCGGCAATTGACGGCCTCCCGCTCCTTTCTTCGTCATGAATTTCAGTGTGACCGGCTGGAAACTCTCTACACCACTTGCGAACGTTTTTGACATCCATGTATGACTGTCCATACACTTCCGTCAATAGGCGGTAAATTTCAACCGGTTTAACGCCTTTTGCGTTCAAAATCGAATAACTGCCCGCACTTCGCACCTGGCAGTAACGTTTATCGGGAGCTCCATTTCGAATGGCTGCCAAGCCAAGACTGAGCGTCCGAGCGAAGCGCCTGCGTGCTTATGTGGTAGAGGAAAAGGCACCACTCACAACAGTGTTGCCAACAACCGTATTAAAACTTTCTCTACGTTTCTCACGTTTTTTTGGGATTGCCCTCGTATAATATATGACAAACTTATTAGAGACTGGAAAAATTTATGGGATCTCTCTGAAAGAAACAAAAACTATCTAAAATGTTTAAAAATTAGCAAAAAAAAAAAAAAAAAAGGGAATTTTAGGAAATGCAGATGTCAATTAAATTCTCACTGCGCATGGAAGGTTCCCTGCTTACTTAAAAAGGTTCCACGTCCAGGTAAATGATATATGTAAAGTTTGTAATAAGTTCGGTGATTCAAAGCATTTCGTTGAGGCCTGTTGCCTGACTAGAAGTGTGAGAGAAAAATATAAATTTACGAAGTTTGAGGATTTATTTAGTAACTATAAATTGTTTAGAAAATTTGCAAGAGATATTATGCAAACTGTGAATGAAAATAAGAAGAATATTGGTATCGAGATATAACAAAGCAGAAAATCATACTGAAAACAGAAATAATTAAGGTAACTTATAAATTTAAGATGGATTTTGATAATATAAAGAAGATTTGAATAATAATAACTAATTGAAAGTAAAACTAATAAAGATTTTAAAGATTTTAGGAAAACACACAGAAATGGAAACGACACATTTATATACTATTTCACCGAGAGTGTTTGGAATGTATATATCTACTTTACGGGTTTTTTTTTTTTTTTTTTTTTTTAATGCCTTTGTGGCTTGGCTTGTTCCCCTCATAGCCATATGGCAGGTTTCGCCTGCTAGGTGGGCTGGGGGGCCAGTGTTTAGAACTAACTAACTATAACTAACCTTGAGAAATTTATTATATTATAAATTTCAAATGAAATTCAGCTGACAAATCTATTTTCTCGGAAGGTAACATTATATTAATACAAACTTTGCAAGATGTTGTGTAAAGTTTTATCAGTATGTGTTAAATTTCGTTGAATTAATTCTCAGCGAATTTTATTTTCTTTTAAATGAATTCAAAATGAACTCTGAGGCCATTGAAATGCCAAAAAAAAAAAAAAAAAAGTACTAAAATAGCTCCAAGCCAATGAGCTGCAGAACATTGTTGTTGGTATTTTAAAAATGGCAATTTGTTCTGTTCATATGATAAATCAAGATTTCTTGAAAGCTGGAAGGAAGAAAGAGGAATCTGCAATACACCTTTCCTTGTTCAAAAATCAGCTTCATTTAATGGGAAGGAATTTTAAGTACTGGTAGTCAGACTGATTTCTGTACAAAGAGAAGTATTTCACTTGCAGCAGTTTTCAGAGAAGGAATATTGTAACATTAGCTTTCATTTTTTTTGCAAAGACCACTGCTGTGCCTGTGAATATGAGGGAGTGAAACACATGGTACTGGCAAGAGTGTTTATTGAATAAAAGCTTAGCCGAAGCAGAATGTTTCGTTGAAAGAGCAGAATGTTTTATCAACGCTGTCACTTTGTTGGTCATCCTGAAGTCTTATCTGTAGTAGTTTTGTTGATCATTCTGAAGTCTTATTTATCTTATCTGTAGTCAGTTTTGCTGAAATGATTTTAATGGGTAAATCTCTCAGGAATTGTATAGTTTTCATGAGAGGTAACAAAACTTGATTTTAAGACATTATTTTGCACTCTAATTTTAAATTAAAATTTCTGAAAGAATGATTTTCTATATTGCAGTGATGTGGACTCAGTATCTTGAAGTTTTGAGACATAATACAATCTTAAAGAATAGTTGCAATTTTGAAATCGCTGAGAAGCAACCTTAAAAACAGTTGGGCTTCATAATAAAAATGACCATTCATTATTGCCAAATGCTTACACTGCTTACATGAAGGAATTATAAGTACACCTGTTATGAATCCTCAGTTGGTACAACAAATGAGACAAAATCTTACTATTCCAAGGATATTTGACTGAACTACAAAAAATAAAATGATTACCATATCAGCACCAAATATAATTGTATTGACCAACTCAGAAGTAGTCAAAACTCATCATAATACAGGATAGTTATAATTAAAGTTCCACTTTCAAATGCTCATAAAAGGAAAGCTATTGTACCAAATGTTATGAAACTTGGTAATCATGTAAAGGAGGTCATGGGAATTTATTTCTGGTGGAAAAAGAAAGTTAAAAAACTTGCCACGAGGGGGGAGCTGTATGCAATATTGTTAAACATAATCTAACTTAACTTTTTGTTACACAGGTTTAACATAAGAAACATTGACCTAAACAAAGTAATTATTTAAAGACGATAAAAGTCGAGTGCACCATCTGTGTAATGGAGAAATTCATCTGTGAAAACCACAAATTGGCAATTAGAAAATGTGGGATCGCAAATCACTTAAAAAAGTGTGCACACACCGGAAATTGTTTTCTTGCAGATCGCTAGTTTGTGATTTTTGAAGCCTGAACTCGGCCCCACGACATGAAGATATTGGCTTAAAACTTTTTAATTGTTTCTAAATGAAACTGTTTGTGGGGTAAGGCAAAACCGTAGTGGCTTGTAATTGGTATAAGGAAAAAAACAAAGATTTATTCAAAGAATCTAAACAATTTGACATAATTGAAGGATGAGATACACCGACATGTCCATAACTTTCCTCCTGATATGCTAAGGGCTGCTGTTAAGAATGCAGTAATACGATTAAACTTGCTTTCGGAAAATGGTGTACGCTATATTGGACATACTTTGTAACACGTTTCAGAAATGATTAAACACATTTTAAACGTTAATGTAAGTTCCCATGACCTCCTTTACAAGATGACCAAGTTTGATAACATTTTGTCCAGTAATTTTCCTTTTATGACCATTTCAGTGTAGAACTTTAATTATAACAACCCTGTATTTTTAAAAGCAGATTGGATTCCAAAGATAGAAACTGTTGCCAAAACGATAATACAGTAATATGCAAAGAAAACATTTATAATTATTAAAGTATTTGTGAGTTACTTTCAAACTATTTATTTACATTTTATGCCATTACATTCACTCCCCTTCCATTAACGAAAGTTACGTTAGAAAGATTGAAACAAATAATGATGCTTATCATCAAAATAATAACAAAATTAATGTATAAATAAAATATAAGTTTTTAATCGCAACAACGTCTTAAGAATTCTAGCAGTTCGGGATTGTCTTAAATATGATTTGATTTTAGATTTAGCCACAGTTATTTTGGTTTGAATTTCAATTGGTGTAGGTGCATTGTTTAGACAATTTGGAGTCATGGGTTTCTCTTGTTGAGGATTTGTAGTGGTTGAACATATGCTGGCTTCAAGCTGTCTATCGATACATTTACTTCTTTATTCTTTATCCTGAGAGTAAAATATTTTAATGAACGATTGATAACCAAATACGAACCTTCATATGGGGGTTTGAGTTGCTTCTGAACTCATTACATTATGTACAAATAATTTAGGGATACCTTTCTGTTGTATTTCCTTTGGCTGAATTAATTCCATGTATTTTTGTAATTTATGTGTAAAAGTTCCATTTGGTGAGTGACATATTTTTTCTTCAAAGAATTCTCCACGAAGTTTAATATTTTCTTCATATACCATTTTCACTGTTGTATAGCTAGTATTGTTATGGACTATCTATCGTTTGTAGGCCTAAAAGAACCGCTGGTAATGTTTCACTCCAAGTTGTATTGTTATGGGCTCTTAAAGCAGGCTTAATTGATCTGTGGAGCCGTTCTACCTTGTTGTTGCACAGCGGGTGATAGGCTGTAGTGTGTGAAAGCTTAATGACACAGATTCTTGACAGGGTTTGAATATTTCAGATGAAAATCGAGTTACTT